TTCGTCACTCACCCGAGCCCCACAGATTCGGCACTCCACCCACCCCATCATCAGCGAGCGGCCAGCCGTACCAGGCGCCCTGCGGCCTCTGCGTGCCCGAAAGGCCGGATCCTTGCCGGCCCGCCATGCATCAGGCGTCGTGCTCGTGCACGCGAGGGGTTGCAGAAGGAAGATTCTGGTTTGGAGCCCCGTTCCAGAGACCCTGGGGTCAGACAGCGCACAGGGCAAAGGCTTCATGCATGAATCTTTTGCTGTTTGGCTCAAGTTACAGGGGATCTCTGCTCTGGTAGCGGAGCGTCCGGCCCCCCAGCGCACGCGCGGCGCCCAGGCCATCCATCGCCGGCGCCAACCTCAGCTATTACTTGACGCGCCAGAAGCGGATCAGGGTCACCGTGGACATCACCACGGACACCGTGAACAATTTCACGATCAACAGGACGATCAACCACCAGAGGGAGATGAAGGTCCTGGAAGGTTCGAGACAGTCTTCTCGGACATCAAGTACGAGTACGGCCACTACTTCGATACGAATTGGTACAGGCGGCCCAGATTAGCAGGTCGACCCTGCCCGATCGATGGTACCCTCGTGTCCTGTGTCTTGCGACCCATGCCTTCTGCATTTCTGTGGCAACGTGGCCCTCGGAAGGGTCTTGTGTCCTCTCGCGTGTTCACTCCAATCAAGTCCGACTGTACAGACGAGCCTTCTTCAAGCATCGGCGATATCATTATTCACGCCCGGTTTGGACCACGACATCACCATTCACACCCGGCATTGACGACGGCCTTCTACCTCACTCTTAACGGCATCATTATGCACACCCCGCATTGACTTGACTACGGACATTCTTCTTCAATTTCGGTGATATGATTGTTGTTGTCAACTTTCCATGGGGCGGCACTCTGGCACTGGAATTATCGACGGGTCACACTCCACCAGAATGAAAACCTCGACTGCAGAGATTTTCAGTACGCAAATATCTCCAGAACCTGTCTATTTGGCGGCGGACGAAGAAGGAACCCGCGACGAGACAGTAACACCATTACTGGTGTTATCGCGGCTACAAGAAGGAATACGGAAGCAGGCTCTACGATTCAGAATCGAGCCATCGGAAGCGAAAAAGCGAGAAGGCAGACATCATCGAATTACGTTTGGATTTGGAACGGCCGCGGCCTCCTGCCGGTCTCCTGGGGGGGCTCCGTGGCCACTCGGAGTCGTCTTGGAGCGGTTGCGGGGCCTTGGCGGCCTTCTGGGGCGGCTCCGTGGCCGCTCGGAGCCGTCCCAGAGCGGCCGGGGGGCCTCTCGATGCATTTTGAGGGGCAGAATGAGCCGTCCTGGGCTATTTTTCAAGCAGTGGCGAAGCGTCCCGGCTCGCCTATAGCCCCACCAACGTTCTAAGAACCTTTTTTGGTTCCCACGAAATGTTCTTAGAACATTGTTTGCTGGGACTGTCTTGTTTTGACACATCGGGTTTATGTTCTAAGAACACTGCTTTTGTTCTCAGAACATTTTTAGGTTCTAAGAACATTCCGTGGTATGACTATATGAATGCCGGGACGGTCGGTCCCTGTTCAAATTTTGAGCTATCTCGGAGGTCACCTCGGGGTTTCTGAGGCCTTCCCAGAGCCATCACTGGCCGTCTCGGGTGCCCCGACCGCTCGCGGGGCGCCCCGCCAAGGCCTGGGGGAGGGGGCGGGCGCGGGGGGCAAATTCCGCCCCGACGGGGGAGAAAATGGTTGGAAGAGGGGGCCCCCTAGAGTCTAGGGGGGCACCCCTACAGTCTAGGGGGGCCCCCCTAGAGTCTAGGATTGGAAAAGGGGCCCCCCTAGAGTCTAGCTTGGCGTAGGTGGTCTAGGGCCCATACCACCTGCGCCAACGGGGCTGGCGGGGTTTGCCGCGTGTTCGCGGCGTCGCCCTCCGTGGTGCGATTCATTTTCCCCGACCTTGCGCCGTGGGATCCCGCGGCACCCGGGCAATAATTGCCGCGGGCTGTTCCTGGCCACCGCGCCTCCCCTGCGCCGCCCCCCCCCCCCGGCCCCCCCGCGCGCAGCGCGCGCGACCCGTTGCCGAGTTGGCTCGAGGGCGGCGTGCGCGCGCGATCCATTTAAAACAAGTGTTCCGCGTGCGACATCCGTGCGCTATCGCACCGCAGAGTGCGTTGCGGTCGCCGTTCGCCTCGCGTGGCCCTGGCTCTGCGTAGGCGCGCGCCGTAAAGTTGCGCCGATGTCAACTCGCATTGCTTGTTTATTGCGCGGATACGCGCGTTGAGTCGCAGCGCGCGCATATGGCCACGCCGTTGCGGCGCGCTCATGGCGGCTGCCATTCTTGAGCCCATGTGGCCATGAGCATGGCCCCCTTTGGTCGTGCACTTCGCCGTGCGAGGGGCTGCGTTTGCAGCTCTTCGCGAGGCCGCGGTGCGCCCGGGATTGCGGATGTGCCCAGCGCTGAAAGGCATTTCTCCGATTGGAGACCCTGCGCGCGCCATTGCCGTTGCATCGCGCGCGCGTTTTTTTTTCGGGGGGGCGATGCGCGTGCCGACGGGCATGTCTCGGTCAGCCACTTGCCAGTGGCCGCGTCGCTGGCTACGCGCGCGGGCTGTGACTGGCACGTGGCCGCGCCCGCAGCCGCGGCCAGGCTAGTGCATTGACGTGATCGCGCGGCGACTGCTACAGCCGCGCCATTAGATTTGAACGCGGTGCTTCTCGCGAAGTGCAGGGCAGTGACCCTGGCCACCGGTGCCATCGCAGCTCGGTTTCAGAGAGTGTCGTACTGCGCGGTTCTGCCGCGTGTCATGTCCACATGCCAGAGTTTGCGGCTGCGTTTCTGGTTTCGCGCGCGTTGCCGAGGGATCTGGCCCCTCGTCGCGTCGGCGGGAGATGGTGCCGCAGATGACGCATCGCAGCCGCGCAAACACATCGTTGTGACGGCCACTTGCGTCGACCTGCAAGCGCCAGGGGATTTTCGCGGGGGCCGCGCGGGCCTCGCCGTCGCCGCGGGCGGGCGAGAAGTGAGACATCGTGGGTGCGTCAAGGACGTTGCGTTTGGCAGTTAGTGGTGGCCGACGCTTGATCAGAGCCCCGAATCATCAGGGGTAACTCGGGTCAGGGTTAACTCGGGTTCGTTTTTCGGGAATCCGAACCCGAGTTACCGAGGACCCGAGTTACCCCGGATAATTCGGGCGTCCAGAGCCCCACATCATCAGGGGTAACTCGGGTCAGGGCAAACTCGGGTTCCTTCTTCGGGAATCCAGACCCGAGTTACCCCGGACCGGAGTTACCCCGGATAACTCGGGCGCCCAACTTGATTTTGGCGGCTGCTTGTCGGTCGCGCCGGGCAGCAGTTTCGCCGCTGCCACCTTTTCCTGGTTTTCTGCGCGTGGCGATTTGGCCCCGTGCCCGTAAGTGTTCGCTCGGGCCGGCCCGATTTCGCAGCGGCCGCGCTCCCGGGCAGAAGGGCCCATTTGCTGACATGTGCTAACGCCGCGCATGTTCTAAACTGTTTCCTGGGGTTATTGTTAAGGTTGGGTGATGCTGGATCATTGGCTAGGAATAGGAGGACATCAAGGAGTGGAAGGTCGTGTAATGTAGTGTACTGTAATGTGCCGTCAATGTCGTGTGAAGTAATGTGGTTTATTGTAATGTGTTCTGATGTAATGTAAGGTAATGTTATGTTCTGTTATGCTGTGTAATGACATGTATGGTCATGCATTTCAATGTAATGTAAGGCTTTGTGAAATACTGTATTGTTATGTGTTATGTAATGTATGCGTGCGTGCATGCATGAATGTTTGAATGTGTGACTTTTTGTACGTATGCACACATGCATGTATTTCGGTATGTATGTATGCATGCATGTGTGTATTGGAATATAATGTGATATAATGCGATGTTATGTTATGTTGTGGAATGCGATGTCTCGTCGCGCGTTTTAATGTAATGTAATGTAATGCAATGGAATTAAATGGAATGTGATGTAGGTGTGCATGCATGCACGCATGCATGTATTCATGTATGTATGTATGCACATATGCATGCACGCATGTCTGTACATACGTATGCATGCATTCATGCACGTATTGTAATGTGATGTAATGTAATGTAGTGTAACGCAGGCGTGCATGCATGGAAGCATGTATGTTTTTTTTATGCATGCACGTATGCATAAGTGCATGCATGCATGTATGCCTGTACGTATGTATGTGTATACGCATTCATGCACACATGCGTGCATTGATTATAATGCAGTGTGATAGGGTCCACCGTAATGTGAAGCAGTGTACTTGAATGTAATGCTTATATGTAAATACGTATGTGTATTTGCATGTTTGTATGCATGTGTGTATATGTATATGTATATGTATAGGTGTATGTATATGTATATGTATATGTATATGTATATGGATTTGTATATGTATGTTTGTAAACATGTATATGTGTGTGGGGTTGTTTGTTTGTATGTATATATGTAGGTAGGTATGCCTGTATGGCTGTATGCATGCATGCCTGCATGCATGTATGCATGTGTTTGTGTGTATGTATGTATGTATGTATGTATGCATGTATGTATGTATGTATGTATGTATGTATGTATGTATGTATGTATGTATGTATGTAGGTGTGTATGCATATATACATGTATGCTTGTATGCATGTATGTATGCATGCATGTATGTATGTAGGTGTGAATGTATGTATACATGTATAAGTGTATATCGGTGTGTATATATGTGTGTGTCTGTAGAGAGAGAGAGAGAGAGAGAGAGCGAGAGCGCGAGAGAGAGACCCAGAGAGAGAGAGAGAGAGAGACATCATGAGAGAGAGAGAGAGAGACATACATGCACACACACATATATATATACAATGAAGAAGGAAAGAGGGAGGGAGGGAGGGAGGGAATTACAGAAGCGGGCGCGGGAGAGATGGCTGCCTTGTGCGCTCATGAAAATATCATCCCGCAGCTGGTGCAGATTGCGGAGGCCCAGGGCATCCCGCTGGATGTTCAGGAGACTGCGCCGTCTTGTTGTCCCCTATTTTCGGTTGCCTCTCCTATTTGTCCTCTTCCTCCTCCTCCTCCTCCTCCTCCTCCTCCTCCTCCTCCTCCTCCTCCTCCTCCTCCTCCCCCCCACTATGCTCATGCTCCTCGTCCCCCTCGTACCTCTCGCTGTGAGCAGTCGTTGCGTCGAGAGCCCATGCATCGAGGCTGTCCCGACACCTCCGGAGCAGGGCCGAGCTGCGGCGGCGGCCCGTGACGGGGTAGAGCCATGCCCTGGTGCCAGCCCCGCGGCGCGCAGCCGGGCGGTTGGGTGGCACCTGCGCTGAGCACGGCGGGTTCTACCACAGCGTCGCTCAGAGGAGAGAAAGGCACCAGTCTCGCTGCCCGTCCCTCGTTTCTCTACTTGTGGGCCTCACGGGAGGACCTCGTTGCCACGGCTGGATTCGCCTCGAACTTCCTGTTGTGATGCAAGCTCGCTCCCAGGAAGAGAGAGAGAGAGAGAGATAAGCCCGAAGAGGTTCCCCCGGAAAGCCTAGAAGGGCCCAGAGGCTGCGCACCTGTTCCTCTCTCCCTGTTTGCTCTCTCTGTTGTATTTCTCCCTGCCGCTGCTGTTTATTCTCGAATAGTGCCCTTGGCCTTAGAGCTACGCAGAAAGCTAGAGCCGCGCTCGCTTTCGACAAAAACTATGGGTGCTGTGCACCAGTCCATATCACAGTGGTAGCTTGGAGATGTGCTCGCTGCCCCGGCCTTTGGGCCGTACATATCACGACGGCGTCTGCGACACGCCCGACGGAATCGAAACCCAGCGGCTTTCTCGTGCTGCTGATCAGAGTCTACGCTACTGTTTGCGACGCCAGCACCAACGCCAGCGTCTGCGACGCCAGCATCTACGCCTACCGTGCCAACTCCAACGCCAACGTCTGCGACGCCAGCGCTTACGTTGGCAGCTACCACATCTCCAACAGCAGCGCCAGCGACGCTGCCGCATACTACATATCATACCCGACCTATGTTTCCGACGACAGCTAGTTCCGCAGTGCTGTCTCGCAGGACGGCGTGCTCAACGACGCCCACTAAAATACATTTTGTATCAGCATCGTCAGCGACGCCGCACACTACATCTCCAAGAGCAGCGTCAGCGACGCCGCATCATCCCCAACGCCAACGTCAGCGACGCCAGCTACTACATCTCCATCGCCAGCGTCAGCGACGCCAGCATCCCCTTCCTCATAAATATGACGGACACGTTCAACAGTTTCGGATATTCAGTCATACCTACCCGGAATAGGGATCCGTCAAATGGAGAGAATATAAGCAATATGTGAAGTTGTGGAAGTTCGGCAAGAACCTTTCAGTGGCGCGAAGTTTAGCATCAAAACTTGTGCTCAGACTCGCAGGGGCGGCCAGGAGTGCAGCATTGACTATGACGGAGGCGCAATTACATCGTGGTGCCAGTCCCAACATCGTGGACGCCGACGAGAAGAAACGCGATAGGAACCAGGTCGGCACCGATACTGTTTTGCAGCTTGTGGGGGCGAGCTTGGGTGTGCAGAAGCCCGTGCAACAGAGCTAGACCCTGGATGAGTTTTTCGAGTCGACTCAGCATCGCCGACGTCGATGTGAACGCATGACGGACTGGCTCATCCGCTTCGAGACCGGACTGCAGCAGTTGCGCGAGGACGAGGTGGACGTCAACGCGCTGGACGACGTGGCCGGCTGGTTTCTCCTTCGCAATGCCAGGCTCACCGCCGAGCGTCGCGAGCGCGTCGTGGGCAACCTGCTGGACGAGCACTGCGGCTACCAGCACATTCGCGGGCTGTTGCTTCGGATGTTCCCGGACATCCACAGTTCGGAACGCCGCGCCCTGCCGCCGAGGTCGTGGAACAACCAGTCGCGCCAGCAATGCAGCTGACGAGGTGAGGGCTCCTCCGGCCGTGGAGGGCGCTCCGCGAGCATCGTCGACGAGCCCGACGGCGACGGCGAAAGACCGGGGGGGGGGCGACGAGGGCGAGGCCGACGTGCAGGACGTAATTCGCCAGGAGCTCGAGGCTTTCAGCGCCGAGCTCGATCCCTCCAGCGTGGACATCTCCGACGTGTTCGACGGCGACGACTCTGCCGAAGTCGAGGCCGCCGCAGCGGAGCTTGCTGCCATTCCCGAGGCCATGGCCGCCGTCAGATTGGCCCGGGAGGCCGTCGAGGGCCGCGGCAAGTCGGACAAGTCCGCGCCCTCGCGTCGCCCAGCGAAGCTGCGTGGTCGGGTCGACCGGCGCAGGAGGACGTCGCAGTGCTGGGGCTGCGGCGAGACCGGTCGTTGGACAGGGGCAAGGGGCGCCCCGCGCCGGGCGCTCACCGCAAGTTCGCGCCCAAGGGCGGCAAGTTTAAGGGCGGAGGGCGCGATGGCCGTGGAGGTCGCCCGCGGCGCCGGGCTCGCATCGCCGAGCAGGTCCAGTTCGCGGGCGAGGAGATAGCCCTGCGTCCGCAGGGACCTGTGACGTCGCCTCCTGAGGCTTGCGTCTCAGAGCGGCTGATCCACCACTTGCCGAACGTCAGCGTCTCGGCCGAAGGCGACGAGCCCGTGGGCGAAGGCGTCGGCGCGATGGGCGGCCTGCCTCTTATGTCTCGGGCCGGAAGTGGCGCGACGACTACGAGGACATCCTCGCCAGGATGGGCCTCGGCGACCAGATCTTCGACGAGCCTGAGGGCGAGGTCTACGGGTTCGGCAGCGGGGGCGCTCTCCCGAGCAAGATGCGCGTCGCCGCGCCGCTGGTGCTCTGCGGCCAGGCTGGCCGCGTCGTGTTTAGCGTCGTGGACAGCCCTGCGCTCGGCCTTCTCGTCAGCCGGGACTTCATCTTGCCTGCCAAGATCGACGTCTCTCTTGGGGGGGGGGGGGGGCAGATCCGCATCGGGAACTCAACCCAGATGCTCGTCGCGAACAGCGCGGGTCACCCCGCGATCGAGCTGCAGCCAAAGGGCTGGCGGGCCATCGAGGGCGCCCGCATGGGGCGACCCGCCGGGCCAGCCAACCGACCTGGGACGAGCCGCGCGCCGACGGTCAACGCTACGACTAGGACAGACACGCTGATCGACAAGATCAGCAAGCTCGTCACGGTGAGTGAGCTGAACGTCCCGAGGTGACTTCAGCCTCGCCACCCGAAGGGGTCGCGGCTTATGTCTGCCGTGGCTTCAGCTCTGGTCTACTGCCCCACTGCTACTCCAGCGCCGAGCCTCACGCTGGCGACGCTGCCGCAGTCAGAGGCCAGCAAGATATGTACACGTACGCGGTTAGCTTCCCCTGGAGTGCTTGTCAACGCGGACGTTCGTGCAGGCAAGACGGCGGAGGGCGTGCATGTACATATGTCGTTGCTCGCCCACGCAGACCACCTATCCCACGACGTGCGTCGTCGAACCGCTGCAGGTCTGCATCGCCTGCGGGGAGAAGGCCTACGAGGCCTGCAGCCGCTTGTGGGGTTCTGCCCGGACTGCGTGTTCGGCGCGCCCGTGGCCCCGGGCTACGGCGCCGAGGTGACCAACCAGAACGACGTCAACATTGTGGAGGAGGAGCAGCTACGCGTGAGGACGTTCAAGAAGGAGACGAAGCCGCAGCTGATCGCAGGAAATCGCTCCGCTTTCGTCACCGGCAAGAGCGGCGCCCAGCCGCGCCATGTCATCCAGGCTTTGAACACCAGCCTGGCCAAGTCTACTAGCAGATCCAGCCCCGCGCGCGCGTCGAACCGCACCGTGCCTTACCGGTGGTGCTGCAATCTGGACAGCAAGATCAGCGCTGCCAGGGGAAGGAGTTGAGGAGCAGCTGTTAGACGCGGTCTTCCAGGCCACGGCCTCTCACGACGGTTCGTGGTCAACGAGCTGGAGGGCAGGGCCAGGGGGGACCTTGCCAGCGGCATGGGCGCGAAGGTTCACGCGGCGTTCGCAGGCCGGGCGTGGACCTCGCTGCAGCGTCTCGTCGTCGAGATCGACCCGGGCAAGATCCCGCGGCCCCAAAAGGACCGGGCCATGTCAATGCTCATGATCGGCTTATCCTTGCAGTCGATGCCCCGGCTGGGCGAGGTGTTCGGCCCCCAACTCGACGTCTCGTTCGAGTGGCCGAGATGCCGCGACGGATGGGGTCCCGATGAGAACGCGATCGCCGAGCAGCTGAGGGGGCAATTCCACTGAGCCATAGACTTCGACGGCCGCGCGTTCGACCTCAGGGCGAAGAGGGGGGCCCGCATCAAGAAACCGCGGAGGATCATCGCGGGCCACGGGTTCGACGGCTCGCCAAGGAGCTTCCGCGACAGATCGCATCCCCACGCAGAGGCTCGCGGCAAGGGCGCGAAGAACAGCGATGACTACGCGAACAAGCTCGCGAGGGTCTTGGCCGCGCAACTGCGCCGACCTAATCGCTGACCCTCACGCGAAGCACATCCCGCGACAAGGAGGGCAAGCAGAAGGACGGTTCTGGCCGCTGCAGCGGCCGAGGAACCAGTTCTCATGGCCGCGGAGGAGCGGGCGCTCAGATCCGTCGTGATGCAGTTCGACGCGAACACAGGGCATCCGTCCAACGATTCGCTTGCCCGAGCCATCCGCGTGACAGGCGGATCACCGAGATGCATAGAAATATCTCCCAACCTTATTGTGAGGTTTGCGCGGCGCATCAACGACCGATACCGCGCCTGCCAGGAAGGTTCCGACTGGACAGGGACATCAACGACTCCATCGGAGTGGACCACTTTACCCTGGCCGTCTGCGCGGGTAGCCAGCTGGTCTATTTAAATGTGGTCGACCTGGCCTCGGGTTTTACGATGTGCGGCACAGTCGCATCAAGGCGCCCACCAGTTGAATTCGCTCGAATGCCGCAGATTTGGATCACGCCTTTCGGCGCGCATCAACGCGGCAGATTCGATAGGGGAGGCGACTTCGAGCGAGAGTTTTCCAAGGAGCTGGAGGACATGGGTTGCCGCTTGATGACCATCTCTGCGGCTGCGCCGCAGCAGAACGCTACCGTGGAGCGAC